GGGACCTTTTCGCTCTAATCGTGCATTTTAATACTCAATTCTGCATAAATGAATGCTATCAGCAGTGAATTTTACAGATTGAAGCATTGCAGGAGACACAAAAGCAAATCTTCAAACACAAATTTTTCATCAATTGCTGCATGATAAGAGTGAATAGGGTAGTACAACCATTGGTTTGAATAGACGTAGGGATTGAGTTTTTGCAAATTGTACATGAATGTCAATTGTAAAATGAACAGGTTCTTTAATTCACATCGTCAAAGCAACCACAAACATTGTCTGTCATAGATATAGATCCATTTTTTGAAATACACATGTGAACGCATCTTACATACATCAATTTACACAATAACATGTAAATGAAATAGTTTGAATGGAAATTGTATCTTTTATTGATATTCAACATGTTCGTCTTATTATTAGTTTGCCATTTCCTGAAGTTGATTTGATCTAATTTGTTCCATTTTCACAACTATCTGCAGATGTGCATAGCAAACCAGTTAACAAATTAGCTGGCAATGTTGCGGTTTTGATATCAGAAAACAAATATAGCAATGACAGTGTATTCAACTGGGATGAATGCACTATTGTACATTTCTAGCCAAATATAGACATTTGTGTCAGACGAACGGAATCAATTGCCAGACTAATGAGGACAAATCATTTCCTTGTGTGATGGCATGAAAGCCAATATTCAGGCTATAATATTTTTCATTACATGCTTCTCAGCTGATATATTTGAGTCAATTTGAGTCAATATGACAGTCAAATGTTATTGGTCAAAAGTGGTCACATGATCATTTGGCTTCTCCCAGCATGTTAGTTTCCTCTGACATCCTGTTCTGTGTTATTGTTATATATAAAATCCGGGACACTCAGATTGTCATTCCGATAACAAAATTGGATGACACTTTCAGATGCGTTTCTCTACTGATGGATAATTTTGATTTTAACTGAGAAAGTTTGTGTTTCATATCAGTTTTGCTTCGCTTACTGTTGTTCTCTTTCAGGATAATAAAACAGTTATGGTCCTTGGCTTTGGCCAATATCAAGAATTATAGCCTCTAAGCAGTAACAGTTACTTTAGGACAATAATTCTTGATATTGGCGTTGGACGACGCCAATAACTGAATATTAACATAATCCAGCCAAACTTTTTTGAGCGTCACTATCTTGAACAAGTGTTTTCCATGAAGCAACAGTCTGTACAATTGGAAATGGTTAATACACACTTCACTTGACTGCAAAATAGTCGAAACCTTGTATGGAATTTGCGTGAATCTGAAGGGATGTAGGAATGTACCATTAGCACTTGCAATTTACATTAAAAAAAATTGGGAAAGACAACAGTGACATGCATTATGTCTTGGAACTCTGACTTGACAATAATTATTTTAAAAATAAAATAAAAACTCACCAGATACGATAACCACATCAATAACTCCTTGTTGATACATTGGGTAAATAACAATATTTGGAAGTACATAGGCGCCATAACTAAGTCCGTACACAATGAATCCCAGACAATAATAACCACTTAGATCAGGATCTTTAAGAAAATACAATCCACACGGTAATTTGATGACATTCGGTTTTGATTTCTGTCCAGACACCAGTAAATTAGAAACTACTAAGTTAGAAGACTGAAATCCTCCAGCTGAATCCATGTTGCTATGACAACAATCTTCAACAGCCCAGCATCAGAATCTAACAAAAAATACAAACAAGAAACGGTATAATATTATAGGCCAAAATTTAGACTAAAAAAAACACACATTAGTAAGGATGTTAGAATTCTAAATGACCAATCCAGAAATAGTATTTTGACATCATGGTGAGATTTATTTAAATCAGTTAGCTCAGCATCATCCAATCAGCATTGACTTCAAGAGTGGGCGGCAGGGTTTTTTTTTTTATTTAAATTTTTTTTGTGCCCGGCTACAGTTCTGGACACTGCTACAGTGAGACATATAGTGCATTTTTGCCACAGAAGCCATATTCATGTTTTGAGACTACACACATGACTGGGCTGTGCGGCCATCTCTCTATCAAATGGCAATTGAATGCGTTATCCTGGCATCAACCAGGCTCAGTCGAACATAAGCACCTGTGGACCTTAACCAAGGTTCCCCCAAAGTCGCATTCGTTAGTGAATAAATCTTGGCCAGTGGAATTGGCCTTCCCATTGAATCTGTGACACACTCACCCAGGATAGGGGTAGACCCTTCTTGGTGTTCAGCCTAACGTAGGATTTGAACTTGGGTCTACCAATCATGAGTCTGATGCATCAACCACTATGCTACCAGTGATTGAGCGGCAGAGTTATCAAGATTGCAGTTCCAAAACTGTAACCACGGAATTACAATTATTTATTTTGTAATTTACTGGTAATTTTCAACCAAACTTGTAGAAATTGTTTGTAGACATTTTGCCTATCAAATTTTGTACTTGTCATAAATGTGTAATGTTTGTCTAAAATGACAGACAAAAACAACTGAAAGCCAGCAGGTGAGAAGTTGTAGACATCTACGTATATATATAATCAGAGGTACATTACTTGGGGATTGCAACGCGCATAGTACTGTATGGTGACATCATGCCAAGATCCATTTAAGTCTCATCTTGTAGATAGCGAGACTGGTGCTACGACCTTCTGACATGAGATAGGCGGTTTGTAATAAAATAATAAAACATGGTGACGAAGTGCTTTTGTGAAACCAAAACTGTAATCCATTCAACTTTTCCTGCCAGTAATTTTCGGGCATCTGTGAATACATCATTTTGCAAAAGTCACCAACACTCCATGTCATGGGATCCCAGAGAAATTTTCACTACTACAAAATTCTGCTGACTTGTGAAATTTTGTCTCTTACAAATTATTGTAAAATGACTGATATTCACGGGGTTTAAATTTCGCTGATTTACCATTTCAGGCGAATTCACAGTTTTATCATTCAGATAATGTGTTCTATGCTAAATTTTACATATTCACTGGGGTTTTAATTTAGCGCATTTTCCAGTCGGCAAAATAAGCAAAATTAAAACCCAGTGAATAATTAATCCTTTTACAGTAAATTACTATACAGTATGTACCGTACTTCACAGATGGATTGAGGTGCAAACAAATTAGCCATTACTTAAAGATACAACATTAATATAGCAACAGGGGTAAAAACAAGTTGAAAATTGTTGTGATTCAAATATTCTCAAAAAGTAACTTAGCATGCTGCTACTACAACAACCTATATACCTTCTGAAAGCTTAGATATTGACGAATACAGCGATACATGCCTTACCAATGTTTGTCTAAAGGATTACCTGACTATTAATTTCATAGTTCAAGATTCATTCAAAAGTGTGGTGAGCAGTTGTTTGTGATGATATACAAGAAACCAATCTTGTTTTTTTTTCTTATTTCTGCTTTAGTTTTTAATTACAACCTATCAAAACAGTCCAATAAGTTGTTAGTAGCATGCCCGTAATTATTTGGTTACTAATTAAGTCAAATAAAGAAAAATGAGATGCGATCATTCAGCCTACATTATTATGAACGTCGCATGTAATTCAGGGCACTAAAGACTTTGAAAAACTTTTTTTTTCAATAGTAAAAATTTACCTAGAAATTAGCCACCATGTAATCCCTTAGACAAAAATTGGTAAGTCATAGGCACTGTGATAATCATTCAGAAACTTAGTACATCTTTTACAATTGTTTTTAAAGAATGTCTCAATTGCAAATGAATTTTAACTTTTTACACTTAATCAATTCTCCATAAGGTAAATATTTAAACCTCCATGACTCATGTAAGCATGCATTACTATTATTCTTGTTGCCAAAACAAACGTTTTTGTTATACTGTAAAATGACTAATTTTCACTGGGTTTAAATTTCACTGATTTACCATTTCAGGCATATTCAGTGGGTTTTAAATTCACGGTTTCGTCATTTAGATAATGTGTTCTATGCTAAATTTTACATATTCACTGTGTTTTAATTTAGCGCATTTTTCCAGTCAGCGAAATAAGCTAAATTAAAACCCAGTGAATAATTACCCCCTTTACAGTATGATAATTAAATCACACCCATCTGTTTGTTTTTAAACAAAACACAATTTAATATTCCCCCTTACCTATTGCTAAAGCGGACTTCCTATGCTGTGTATACTACCAGTAAATTGTACACACCCAGTAGACGTGAACTAAAAAACATGCAACTCAGAATGGCTAAATATAGGATTGACCCCAAAGTTGACATCTCTTAGCTCACCGTCCCTCAAGGTGTTGAGGGACGGTGCTTAGCTATATGCATTGAATCGGTGAGTTAAATATTACAATTTTCGGGTTAAACATCAACAACATTCTATATTTGAAAAAAAACAATATGGATTTAGTTCGTTGGTCATTATCATGATCACACCCTGTGCTAAGTAGGATGGCAAGCCGGGCTGTTGGTGTTAACATGGCAGGTAGTACCTTACATGGTGTTAACGAGTCCGACTATTGCTGCAGTTTATGCAGCTCTCTTAAGCGGCCAATAAGAGCTGCTAAACTGCAAGTCCGACTACTACTATTTCACAGCACTGTACGCTGCACGACCCCGGTTAGATTTTATTGTATGCCGGAGCACACAACGGGCGGTCACGCTGTACGGATTTGGACGACCAACTAAGCGTGACAATCCCGAATACGTACCTTTCTGTCGCTTGTTGTCCCGACTTGGTTTTAAATCAACAAGGTGTTCACAAATACTGGTACGGCACAGTCATGTGAACTTTGTCCTCGGGTCAAATGTTACGAATGCATCTTGGGAGTAAAGCGGTTGCGAAATGTAAATAACAGACATTCGAGGATAAATTTACGCCTCTGAACTGAAGAAGTTGTTTTTCTTTGGTACACCACCATCTGATTTGTTTGTAGTTGTATCCGGGAGTTGTACTGTATTGTAATTGTATTAAATTCTGAGTATTGTATTGAATCAAGAACTTTTTTTACTATTACCTTCATTTATACACAATTAATTTGGACAGAATAACAACTTGAACTGCTGAAAACAAAAATTTACAAATAAAATTGGAAAAACAGTTTAAACAATACTGGAAAGAGAATTGAATAATGACCGAGAGGGTAGAAAATTTAAAAATGAATTCGAATTGGAAAACTATTTGATATCACTGAAAAATGTTGAAAGAAGACAAACATTATGTAAATTTCAACTAAGCAACCACAACTTAAAAATAGAAACAGGACGACATTCCAAACCAAAAACACCTGTAAAAGAAAGAATATGTGAACTTTGCACAAAAAATCAAATTGAAAACGAACAACATTTCATCATGACTTGTTCATTTTACAATAACCAAAGAGAATCAATATTTGAGAAATGTAAGAAACAAATTAATAATTCTACAATTGATGAAAAATTTGCACTGACAATGAGTTAACCTCGTTACATATCACACTTGGAAAATTCATTAAAACTGCCCTCGACTTAAGACAGCCAAGATTTGTAACCCTTAATGTATTAACGCATTATTATTGTTATTACTTTTTAACAATGGTTTCTTCTACCTTTATTATTGCTATTGATGGATATATTACTATTCATGTTTTTTATTATTTCGATTATTATTTTTTTTTAACCACTACAGTCTACTTTAGTCTTAGTGTTTTGTATTATTAGTCTAGTTTTGTTTAGTGTAAATGTAATCATTTTAATCCCCCCTGGGGAATTTTATGTGTTTAATAAAAAGTATACCAGAGGTACACGTTTATATACATATTGCTATGTAACGAATAGAAAAATGTTATGCAATAAAGATATTATTATGATTATAAATTATAGCTGAGCCTCAAAGTACTAATTAGTTTCATTGAAATGTGAAAATATCAGTGGGCTAATTTATGTAAATTGGTTAATTCAACTATAAACGAGAGCACATATTTAACCAGTTTCATTCATTCAAATCTGACTAGTTATTGATATATCTGTGGAAAGACCATGTTTACATAAGCTAATTTATGTAAATTAGATAATTAAATATAGCTGCAATGTCAATGACATCATACATTGTCAACAGGCATATAAATCATCTCCTGTCCAGTGCTTTCATTATAGCCTTGGTTGCATGCGTACCGGTATATGCTGCGGAGATATTAAAGTTATGCCTATTCACATGACCGTATATGGTCATCTCTTATCTGATGCCTCAATCATAGCATTAGTTGTACAAGTGTATATGTAATAGTTATTAGATATTATTAAAATCAAATGACCATATATGGTAATGTGATATGTTAGTCATACTTTTTGTCGGATGTCTTCATGATAACCATAGTTTCATGTACGTATCTACTACAGCCAATAACTGACATAACACCACCCCCACCATATTTTTTGACTATTTGTCCCTGGCATGAGGATACTTGGGTTCTACCTTTCTCCCAAATGATGCAAATTAGGTAATTAATATGTAGAATGCAACCAAAAACTAATCAGGTTTGCACTTTATTCCTGACCATCTATGTATCAAGCTTCTTTAAATATGTGAAGTAGTTCTTCAGCAAAAAAAAAAGTTAAAAGGCTTAAATTGAATTATTAATATGCAAATTAGGTCATTAATATGCATAGATATCAATCAAATACTAAACAGGTCTGCAAATTTGGTTT